CACAGATTTTCAACTGGATAAATTCTGGGAATCAGGCCTTTCCTTCTTCCTATTCATTTTAGCGTGGAAGTTCTGCTGAAATGTGACAGCAGCAAGCAAACCTCCACTGTGAGATGAGTCATAGTGGCTATGCCTGAGACACAGGAACAGAGTTTCCTAACTGAGGGTTTATGTCCTTGATCCACCACCGCTTAAAGTTTAAGAAAGCTATTAGCCAAAATAGCTCTGGTAGCCTGTGGTACGAAAGGGCACTGCAATCTCAAAGGCATGCAGTTCGAATCTACCAGATGCTCGCAGGGAGAAAAATGAGCAATCTCCTGTGTGATTTATTGCCTTTTAAAACCTACTGGAGGGTCAACTACGGGTCTGTTAAACCTCAATGGCAAACAACAATAACATTAGCCAAAATACTATCAACTCAACTGTCTCCTGTTGAATACTCTATTGGGCAAATTAGATTACACTAAAATTTTTTTTTAAAACTTTACACAAATGTCATGTATTGAGTTAGAAGACTCTATAGAAAACTTAATGTGTATGGGAAAGAGGTATAAAGGCCCAGAAACAGAAGAGTAAAAACATACAAAGAAACTAGTAATAAGTCTTCAATTCTTCATTTCTTTAAAAGTGTGACGTATGTGCATGTGGGTCAAATAACCTTGAGGCCCTTTGAATGAAGGGACTAACCTCCCTGGGTCTCTTCCAGATCGTAAATTCAATCAGGAGCCAAGATACACTTGCTCAATTAGAGACTGTGTTTAAAAACAGCGCTACCCACTCCATCTTTACAATAAGAAGTAATTTAGTTTTTGAAACTACAGTAAAAACAGAAGCAAAAAGAGCTGTGAAAAATTCCCGACAACTCAAAGCCCTTATAAATAATCTCTCAAAGCTCTGAACAACTCTGCATTGGCCTCAAGGAGACACACAGGGAATATGTTGATCTGTCACTGTCGGTACAAGTACCACAGCACATTCTAGATTATCAACATGATTGACTTTATTTAACACTACTGTTTCCTTTCCCTTCTAGATCCAAGAAATTTAGGAGAAAAAGAATGACCATTGTTATATCACCACAGTCACAAGAAAATATTTTGTCTATAAATCAAATTATAGTTGGACTTATTATTGTTTCATTTGTCAAGGGGACAAAAGATCTAAGTAAAAATCAACTAATTCACTCAACTTATGCTTTTCACATTTACTTTTCTAACAAATGTAACACTTTCAGAATCCTTACATGAAAATCCTTAAACTTCTAAAGATATTTCCTGCAATATTAAAAACTAAGGTTAAGAAACAGATACGTTTTCATGTAGTTTAAAAAAAAGCAATCCTATGAAGACAGACGTTGTGTGACAAAGGTCCAGTGGTCGGATGGATACTGGGAAGCCCCTAGGACCAAGGCCCTCAAGTCAGCTCTTCCAGCTTGGAACAAAACTCCCACCTGTGGCTGAACTTTCAGTCCAATAGCAGAAAGGTTTCAAAGGTGAACAGTGCTCACTCCTTAAAGTAATCAACCCTGCAAGACCAATGGGCAACATCTGCCCAGGGCTAACACTCAGGAGACAGCAAGGGGTCGGGCAGGATAAACAGAGATGAGAGAATCACCCGGAAGAAGTAACAAGAATGCAGTTACACTGTAACTGTATTATAACTAAAACACTGTATTGTAATGAAAACAAAATGTGTATGAATGATTACGGAAAAGTCATTTGCTCAATAAATTTTACTCACTGCAATAAAAAAAATAAATGATTATCTGTGGTGAAATATATTCTAAAAGTATCCAGTAGAATATATTTTAAAAGTATCCTAACTTGTCTCTCATTAAGTTTTATCCTAATTTGATAATGATCATTTTTTTCTGTATAAAACCAATGCTGCTGTTGTTGTTATGTGCCGCCGAGTCGCCTGCGACTCATAG